ATGTTAGTTGGTTTTGGTGGTGACAAGTGTCGGCCACCTATGGTTCCTTGACCAAGCCAAAGTCCTACTTCTTATCATCCATTTTGCTTTATTTTTCCTCATTGTTTTTTGGTTTGGCCGAGAGCAAGGAGAGGGAAGAGAGTGAGGAGATTTTTTCAATTTTTAACCTTGAATCCAACCTTTTGAGTGCAACCAAGAAAAACTAAACCGATTAATCACTAGTTTGGAAGTTTGGGAAGCATAAGGAACCAAAAATTTCAAGGGGAGGTGGAGGATCATTCTTGCAAACTCTTGTCTTGAGGTATAATGGCTGATCAACCTTTCTTTCTCCATTAATCATGATTAAGTTGGGTATTAATGTTAGTATTGTGCTTGTGATACTTGTTCCAAGTGATTTTGCTGATTAGATGGATGACTTTTGAGTTAGGGTTTCTTGTGGGTTAGGTGTTGTATGATGTATATATCTGGTATATAATCTTGTAAAGGAGATGGTAGTGGTAGTTTCAAGGTAAAAATGTGAATTATAGCTTGAATATAACAAAATTCCAGATTTCTGGAAATTGTAGCTTCAGTTCTGTCCGGTTCCATTTCAGTATGTTAGAGGCCGAATTAGACTTAAACATGAAAGTTGTATAGAATGATGTTTGGTAGTCTCCTGTAAAATTTCAGCTCAATCGAAGCAACGTAGCCCATAAAAAGATAAAAATACCCCTGACTCTCATAGGTTTAGTCCAATGGCCAGTTTTGATATTTCACACCATTAACCGTGTCTGTTCACCCTGATGTGTACTGAATTAGCATTTAGCCAAACACAAAAATTGTAGGGCTATGTCTTCGCTTTCCAACGCCCCTAGAATCACCTCGTTTGGACTTCGGTAGCTGAGTTATTGTTGTTTAAACGTAGCACGGTTAACTGACCTGTTTGTGCGCTTCTGGTTTAGTAAGTCGAAATTTTGACCTAGATACACTACGAACTGGACTAGGTGATCTTCATCAAAGTTGTAGCTCTCAGCCTTAGCGTCGAAACGGTATAAATTGCACTCCAATCCAATAGGCGTAGTTTCGGTTGTGTCCGTTAAGCAAAACAACGTCAAATCTGTCTTTTGCTAAACTTCATTTCCGCACATGCCGTTAGCTTCATTTTGTACTTGTATGCCCTTGAGCCTATTGAACGGCTATTGAAATGAGTTTGTTTTGTGTGTAACTTTGGGTTTGATTGAGAAAAAGAATGAAGCCATAAATGGCTGGAAATAGGAAAATACAAAGGGCGTGCTGCCCAAATTTACGCTCACGGATTAGGTAGACATACTTGTAGCTTGAGTAAGGGTTAAGAGCGATTACCACTTGAACTATCTAGGATATTTGCACCTTCTTTTACCGAGGTATATAGGTAAGGATTTGGCCAAACTTGTACCCTTGAGAAATACAACCATGACTAATAGAAATACGTTTTCCTTGTACTTTTGATTCAAATGGCATTTTCAAGTATAAATGCTACAAAGTTATATAGTTTGAAAAGCGAGCGAGTGTTTCACGAATATTCTCCAAGTGAATTTCTATTTCTTGATTCTTATTGAACGAAACGTCTAAGTTTCGAACCTTAGTCGATTTTCAAAGTTCTGAAACAAAGTTTTATCGTAGATTTGGACTCCAAACCCGGAGTATAACCCAGACGTGATTACTAAGGGCACTTCATTTTGGTGAGTGCTTCCAAATACCTGATTGAACTGGACACTTGTTTCCAATACTTGATCAATATGATTAAATGATATAAGATTGGTTTGATCGGACAAGAGTGTACTTTATCGCACTTGCCCTTATTTGATATATACTTGTTTATTGTTAAAATTGATTTGATATACTTGTTTATGATGTACGCACTTCCTGAAATTCCAGAAATCCTGCGACAAGTTACTCGAGTCGAGCCGGCAAGGGTTTGGTCGATTGGGTAACGTACCCTGGGTCTCATGTTTGTCGAGTGGAGTGATATCTCCTCGACTAATCGTTATACTCGAGTATTACCACCCGTGTTTATTGAGGATTTTGGGCCCAGTAGGGGGTTTGAATGGTGGACGGAGAGTAGTGTAAGTGGTGTTCTACTGGATTGGTTACTTACTTGAAAGTTGACGGAGTGTCAACTATTACGTGATCAAGCTCCTGGTGATGCTTTGGGAATTTGGCTCCTGAGTGCCATTCGTATCCTTATATTTTGAGACGATTGTTGTGACAGCCCCACCTCACCCTAAAGCGAACCAAAGGGTTCGGCGGACCGCCTGCCTAACTCTCGCCAGGTCTCACTCACTCGCATCAATTAAAATAAGGTGCAACCTCAATAATAAACGAAATTACGGTTCCCAAGTTTGGAACATACAAATACATTCATTTCTATCTCAACCATCCATACAGTCCCAAATACATCAAAAGAGTTAAATTCTCAGTACATTCAACCCTAATCGAGTGGCTAGTGCAAGTACAACTACAAAATTCAAAACAACTAGACTACGCTAGTCTGTACACGTCTCACGCCTCGCTCGTACCCCCTGTAAGGAAAACAAATGGCGTGGAATGAGCTAAAAGCCCAGTGAGGTTCCAAATAGCAAGTTAACCCTTATTTAAAAGTGCAAGTATCACGTAGCAAAGTAATGAGCATGAATAGTTCATAAAAATGAGCGATAATACTTCAAGTAGCAAATCTCAAAGTGAGCGAGTGTAAAAGTTTTTCAAAAGAAACAATAATCCAATAAACAATAATCACTCCAAAGTATAAGGATACGGATGGCTCTCAAGAGCCAAATTCCCATTGCATCACCAGAGTTTGATCATGTAATAGTTGACACTCCGTCAACCTTCAAGTAAGTAACCAATCCAGTAGAGCACCACTTACACTACTCTCTGTCCACCATTCACACCCCCTACTGGGCCCAAAATCCTCAATAAACACGGGTGGTAATACTCGAGTATACCGATTAGTCGAGGAGATATCACTCCACTCGACAAAACGAAAGACCCATGGTTCGTTACCCAATCGACCAAACCCTTGCCGGCTCGACTCGATTAACTAGCCAATGGGGTTTGGGGTCCCCAAAAGTCGATGAGGTAACACTCCAATCGACTGAATTAAAATCAAAGTATGGAGACAGGAATGAGAGGCACCTCCCACTCAGATAGAGTGTGGTACATACTGCCGCTCCACACTTACAAATCAAATACAAGTATATCAAGTTAATTGCAACAATAAACAAGTAGATATCATATTAGGGCAAGTGCGATAAAGTACACCCTTGCCCGATCAACAAATCTCGTATCATGTATTTTCATGGATCAAGTATCAAAACAAGTGTCAAGTTCTACCAGATATTTGGAAGCACTCACCAAAAGTCTAGTGCCTCTCAAAAACACGTTCAGATCCAACTCCTTGGTTGGAGTCCAAATCTGCGATAAAATATCATTTACGAATGTAAAATTTTCTAGAGTTCGAAACATAGGAGTTTCGCTTCAAGAAAATCAAGTAAATGCAACTCGTTTGAGTAGTATTCAAGATGCTTATCAAATTCTAAGAAATTCATGCTCGCTCTTAAGACTTTGAAACTTGGTAACAATTATACTTTGCCCTCAAATCAAAAGCATCACCTGCATCAAAAGGGGCTAAGTCAGAAACATTAAATGTAGCACTAACGCCATACTCACCAGGAAGATCAAGTTTGTAGGCGTTGTCATTGATGCGCTCCAACACTTGAAAGGGTCCATCACCCCGTGGTTGTAATTTGTTTCTCCTTTGAACAGGAAAACGTTCCTTGCTCATGTGTAACGACACCCAATCTCCAGGTTCAAGAATCAACTTTTGGCGACCCTTGTTAGCTTGCTTGACATATTGAGCAGTTCTTCTCTCAATGTTGGCCCTGACTTTCTCATGCAGTTGCTTAACAAACTCTGCACGTTTCTTACCATCCAAATGTGCGCGCTCATTACTAGGTAATGGCACTAGATCAAGTGGTGTTAGCGGATTAAAACCATAAACACATTCAAATGGAGAGAAACCAGTAGTAGAATGGATAGCCCTATTATAAGCGAACTCAACATGAGGTAAACACTCTTCCCATGATTTCAAGTTCTTTTTTATGATGGCACGCAACAAAGTACCTAATGTACGGTTCACCACCTCAGTTTGGTCATCAGTTTGGGGGTGACTAGCAGTAGAGAATAGCAATTTGGTGCCTAACTTAGACCAGAGTGTCTTCCAAAAGTAGCTTAGAAATTTAACATCTCTATCAGATACAATGGTCCTAGGAATGCCATGCAATCTCACAATCTCTTTAAAGAATAAGTTAGCAATATGAGATGCATCATCCATTTTATGACAAGCAATGAAGTGTGCCATTTTAGAGAATCTATCCACTACCACATAAATGGAGTCATGGCCATACTTGGATCTAGGCAAACCAAGTATAAAATCCATAGAAATATCTACCCATGGTGCACTAGAAATAGGTAATGGGGTGTAAAGGCCATATGGGTATACCTTGGATTTAGCTTTCTTACAAGCTAAGCAACGTTCCACCACCCGTGCAACATCTCTCCTCATGTGCGGCCAATAGAAGTGTTCCTGCAGCATGGCAAGAGTCTTATCAACCCCAAAGTGTCTCATAAGTCCACCTGAGTGGGATTCCCTTACTAAGAGTTCTCGGAGTGATCCATGTGGGATGCAAAGCCGATTGGTACAAAACAAGTATCCATCGGAAATGAAGAACTTACCTTGCCCAGTGTGTTTGCAAGAAGTGTAAAACTCACCGAAGTCACTATCTTGGGTATAGAGCTCTTTAATCAGCTCAAACCCTAACAACTTAGCATCTAAGGAGGTGAGTAGAGAGTACCTTCGGGAGAGTGCATCCGCAACCACATTAGACTTACCAGCCTTGTATTTAATCACGTACGGAAAGGACTCCACGAATGCAATCCATCTTGCATGCTTCTTGCTCAAGGTGTGCTAGGCCTTAAGGTACTTAAGGGTACTTAAGGGACTCATGATCGGTGTGTATCACGAATTCCTTAGGCCTTAAGTAGTGTTGCCACACTTGTAGTGCTCGAATGAGGGCGTACAACTCTTTATCATAAGTTGAATAGTTCAGTGCAGCCCCATTGAGTTTCTCACTAAAGTAGGTAATAGGCCTCCCACCTTGGTTCAACACAGCTCCAACTCCAATACCTGAAACATCACAATCAATTTCAAATGTCTTAGAAAAGTCAGGTAAAGCAAGTACAGGTGCGTGTGTGAGTTGATGCTTTAAATCGCGAAAGGCCTGTTCTTGAGATTCCCCCCAATGGAAGTTCTCATTCTTCTTGATCAACTCAGTCAAGGGTGCAGCAATAGTGCTAAAGTCCCTCACGAATCTCCTATAGAAACCCGCAAGTCCATGGAAGCTTCGAACATCACCCACGGACCTTGGTGTTGGCCACTCTTGAATAGCTTTCACCTTTTGATCATCCACCTTCATTCCCTGCGCACTTATAACAAACCCTAGAAACACGAGCTCGTTAGTGCAAAAATTGCACTTCTTGAGATTGGCATAAAGCTTCTCTCTTCGAAGGACATCCATGACAGCCCTAATATGCTCAAGGTGTTCGTCATAAGATTTGCTATAAATTAGGATATCATCAAAGTAAACAACCACAAATTTTCCCAAGAATGGAGGCAGGACATGATTCATTAATCTCATGAAGGTACTAGGTGCATTAGTTAGCCCAAAAGGCATCACTAACCACTCATATAATCCATACTTAGTTTTGAAGGCAGTTTTCCATTCATCCCCCTCCTTAATCCTAATTTGATGGTACCCATATTTGAGATCAATTTTGATAAAGAACACAGCCCCATGTAACTCATCAAGCATGTCATCTAAGCGAGGTATAGGGTGGCGATACTTCACTGTGATGGCATTTACGGCTCTACAATCAATGCACATTCTCCACGTACCATCTTTCTTGGGCACCAAAATGACTGGGACAGCACACGGGCCCATCCTTTGCCAAGCAACTCATCCACTTGCCTTTGCAACTCCTTAGTCTCCTCCGGGTTGCTCTTGTAAGCTGGTCGATTTGGCAACGAAACTCCAGGGATGAAATCAATTTGATGCTCAATGCCTCTAAGTGGTGGTAATCCACTTGGCACGTCTTCGGGGAAGATATCAGCATACTCCTGCAAAAGAGACTTAACCTCAAGAGGTATGTTAGTATCAAGTTCATGCATATTCAGAGCTACTTCTTTGCTAACAAGCATAAGAAACGGCTGCTCATCTCTCATTAATTTCCTCACTTTCTTGGCTTTTATCAGGAGCATTTGTTTGCCCTCGGATTTTACCTCACTTGCCGAGCTATCTATATCCTTTTTCCTCTCTTTTTTCGCCTCGGCTCTCTCATTTTCTTTCTTTTTTGCACTATACCTCTCAAACTCTTGTTGCAATTTCAATTGGTCCTCATGCACTTGTTTGGGGGAAAGGGGAGTTAGTGTGACTTTCTTACTATTGTACAAGAAGCTATACTTATTAGTCACACCATCAAAAGTTACCTGTCTGTCAAACTGCCAAGGCCTACCTAGTATAATGTGACTAGCCTGCATAGGAACTACATCACATAATACTTCATCAGAATATTTATGGATTTGGAAGGATATAAGAACCTGCTTGGTTACTCGAACCTCCCCAGAATTGTTGAGCCATTGGAGTTTGTAGGGTCGCGGGTGATCCCTGGTAGGCAACTTCAAGTTGTCCACCATGAGTGAACTAGCTACATTTGTGTAGCTCCCACTATCAATAATCACACTACAAAGTGCTTGGTTGACGAAGCACCTAGTGTAGAAAATGTTCTCCCGTTGAAGCTCGTCCTCCTTAACACGTGCAGTTAATGCTCTCCTTGCAACCAATGCAGTCCCAAAATGACCTTCGGGTGCACTAAACTCCTCTTCATTTGGCGATTCCCCATCACTACCTCCGTCAAGAGGTGGTATGCCTTCATACTCGGCTTCGTCCTCACTCACGATCTCACCATTTTGCATCATAATCATAGTCCTTTGATTGGGACATTGACTAACAATATGGCATCTACCTTGGCATTTTAAACATCGAGTATCACGAGCTCTAGTTTGTACCCTAGGCTCCTCAAATTTTGGAGTAGAAGAGGGCGGCTTACTAATACTAGGGTTGCCCACCTTACCTCCCTCGAATCTCGGCTTTGGTGTATGAGCATTTGGTGAAGGCCGAGAATCATTCCTTGGTTGGAATGGGCGGTTGGTAGAGTAGGTGGTATTGCCAAAATTCGATCGAGTGGTACCCCTCCTCTTGAGCCTTTGCTCGACCTTAATAGCCTTGTCTACAAGCTCATGCAACTCCATATAATGTTGAAGTTCCACTCGTTCAGCAATATCGGGTCGTAACCCGCTCAAGAATCTGGCCATGGTGGCTTCAGGATCCTCCTGTACATCCGCTCTAAGCATTAGGATCTCCATCTCCTTGTGGACTCCGATTGCCCTGGACTAAGGTTTGTAATCGGTGGTACAAATCCCTAGTGTAATGTCGAGGTACAAAGCAGGTGCGCATCATGGCTCGAAGCTCGGGCCATGGAACGAGCTCAGGTAGCCCATTTCTCCTTCTAGACTTCTTGATTTGGTCCCACCAAACCACAGCGTACTCAGTGAATTCCATAGTGGCCAATTGCACCTTTTGCACCTCGGTGTAGTTTTGGCAAGAAAAGACCATTTCGATCTTGGATAACCATTCGAGAAAGGCCTCGGGATCGGACCGTCCTTTGAATTCAGGGATGTTCATTTTAATTCCCTTGAACACATCGGTATGTCCAGTCTGGTTCCTTTGCCTTGGTCAAATTCGAGGTTCCTCATCATCATCATCGTTATTGGAACCATTGGACGACTCCTCCACGTCCCTTCGCCTTCGCGTGGATTTAGAGGTTTTTGGTGTCCCAGACGCTCGGAATTGCAGCAACTCATCTTGAATGGGTTCTAGTATGCGTTGAAAACGCCTCTCCATCTGCTCCATCATCTGTTCAAAGTTCATGGGCCGGGATACTCCTTCGTTTCCACTAGACATGGAGTCTCAAGTGTACCTGCAAGGGTTAATAGCAAAGGAAAAGGAAATAGGGAAAAAAAAGTAATGTTTTCTTTTGTTTTTGTTTTTGTTTTTTTTTTGTCACTTCACTCCCTAAGTGTATACTCTCACACTCGTATATGGTCACTCAAATCACTCTAATAAGCTCACCAAAATATTCTCTCACAGCCCCTTGCAAGACCTTGAAGAAAGTAGAGCTCCTCAAGTGCTCAAATTTAGTTTAAAAAATCAAGTTCACGCTAGAATTTGAGGTTCGTAAGAGTAGAGATTTTCTTGGGAAACAAAATTAGGACACTAAGAATGGAGTGATAGAATATATTCAAGAATAAAAACCGGAAAAGGAATTGACACAAAAGCTGAAAAAAATTAAGAACGACACTAAAAAAAACTCTAACCGACAAGGAAGTTGTTTCTTTGCCTTGCTGGAGTTCTTGGCCAGCTTACTAACCAAGGTTACCAAATGCGTGTTAGTTGAACGGAGAAAATGAATGACTCAATAAACGACTCAAAGGCTGACCACGGCTCAATAAATGACTCAAGGCTGAATTTTACGAAGCCTAGACGAGACACTATGGACGTTGGCTTGCTGGAATCGGGTCTTGCTACTGCCTTGGGTTCGGGCTAGGGGTTCAAATGGGTTTATTGGTGCTGTTTGGAATGCTCAGGGAGTAGGGAGGTGGTATTCCTTGATGGTAATTGATAACGGTTCACAAGGTGTGGTAACCGAAGTGGGGAACAAGAGCTAGTGGGCGGTTGATCTTGTTTAGGGAATTGGTTTGTAGGTCGGTTGTCTAGGTAACCAAGTGTGGTGCGGCTGCTTGGGGTCTGATGTGGTGAGATTGAGGGTAGTTTAGGACAACTTGGGCTTGATTTCTGGGTGCTCTTGGCTGACTTCAATCATAAGGACGTTAGGAATAGAAGCGTTGTACGAGTGGGACTTGTGTTCCAACTAGAAGTCTTAGAGCCGAGGTTTCCTTTTTTTTTTTTTGTTCTTTCGTTTCTTTCCTTTTTTTTCTGCTTTTTGCGGCTCTCTGATTGTTTTCAAGAACTCAGGTTTCTGTCCCACCAGTTGATTCTTCGGATCAAAGTACAAGATTGCCAAGAAAATAGAAGTGTTCCTCCCAATTTCAGGAAGCCTGTGATTGTGCAATCAAGGACTTCCCAAAGCAGTTGTGGTTGATCCAAGAGCTTCAAGACTTCTGATCAGGAAACTCAAGATCTACCCAAGTTCGTCGTTGGTTTCCAGGACTTGCAGGAATCGACACAAGGGTTCAAGGCTCATAAGCAACACAGGTTCGGTAGTTCAAGAACAAAAATTTCCAGCAAACGTGACTCACTACAATGGTATGCGACACTCTTCTCTCTTTTTTTTTTTTTGAGACTTTTGCTGGGTCGTTTGCACAACCCAGGTGACACAAAATAGACTCCAATCTGGCTGGAATTAGTAGCAATTTGCAACAAAGAGATTCTGGACAGTTTGCACGCAATACCACAAGACACGACACAAAGGAACAAGAAAAAAATCTTAGCGGCTGCAGTTGTTTTTTTTTTTCTTTCGGTCTTGTTCCTTTTTTTTTTTTGTGTGTTTTGACTCAGGTTGGGACTTACTTACAACAACAACAAGATGTTTGTTAAGGTACAGAAACCAGAGAAGCCAGAACTATTGCAGGAAATAGAAAAGGGACAAGCTCAAGTAATGAACTGATTAATCAATGAATCAATGTAACAGTAATCATATGAATCTGATTCTTCATTGACATAATTTGGTGAACAAATATAAGAACAGAAAAGATGGTTCTAGCTGAGTAGGGGAAAGAATCGAAGGAAATTGGGAGGGAAAAATGAGGATTGCTCCTCTTTACAAATTCAGATGAATCTGGACAAAATGAATTCAAAAGCTAATCACAACGAAGCAGAGATGCCTGCTTATAAAGGTATCAATTTCTAACAAACTCCTAACTACACCAATAAGAATCAAACACGTGGCCTTCTTTTATTTAGCTCGCTCCATGACAAAGCCTCCCCCTTAAACAATCCTTGTCCTCAAGGATGTCAAACAAAGTTCCAGGCTTCCAAACAAAGTCTTCAGATTGATATTTGGCAGTTCGCAGCAAGCAAGTAGTATAAGAAAATGGCAAAGCTTGCTGATTCTTCTGAGATTGATCTTCCATAAGCACGTGCAAAAGAAGTTCAGCCGCCAATTTTTTGCATAGCAGGGCTTTGAGCATTTCGAACTTCTCCAGGTAGTCAGCTACTGAACCTGTCTGCATCAGTTTGTTGAATTCCTCTATAGCTTCTTCAGGGGAGCCATCTCCAAATCTCTCACAAAGTGCATTGCAGAGTTCTTCCCAATGAATAACCTTCCTGCCAGAAAACGTGCCGTGGAACCATATATCTGCTTTGTCTCTGAGATAAAGTTCTGCAACTTCAGCTCTCGTTTCTTCCTCTATTCCATTGATTTTGAAATACTTGTTGGCTTTGCTGATCCACTCCTTTGGGTTCTCTCCAGTGAAGGTTGGTAGATCCACCTTAGGAAATCTGGTGAATATTTTGCTCTCCTTAGCCTCAGACTTATCCATAACTCCCTTCTGCGCCTCCCTTCTCCTGCCATCTTCCTTATATCCTGAATCGGACTCTGAGCTGCTGCTCTCTACCTCCCTTCCTTTGTCATTCAGCTTTGCTAACATTTGTGCCATCATGTTCATCATACCTTCGTATTTCTGATCCAGGTTTTTGAGAGCCTTTTCAGTGTTCTCCTGCCTGTGTTCCATGATCCTCACAGCTTGATCCAGTCCATCACTTCTGTTAGCAAAAGTTCTAACTACAGTCCCTAGTTCAGTTATCTCTTTCCTCATCTCATCTTGATTTTTAGTCATTTCTCCCAATGGCTCGTAGCTAGCTCTGATACCACTGTTAAGGTACAGAAACCAGAGAAGCCAGAACTATTGCAGGAAATAGAAAAGGGACAAGCTCAAGTAATGAACTGATTAATCAATGAATCAATGTAACAGTAATCATATGAATCTGATTCTTCATTGACATAATTTGGTGAACAAATATAAGAACAGAAAAGATGGTTCTAGCTGAGTAGGGGAAAGAATCGAAGGAAATTGGGAGGGAAAAATGAGGATTGCTCCTCTTTACAAATTCAGATGAATCTGGACAAAATGAATTCAAAAGCTAATCACAACGAAGCAGAGATGCCTGCTTATAAAGGTATCAATTTCTAACAAACTCCTAACTACACCAATAAGAATCAAACACGTGGCCTTCTTTTATTTAGCTCGCTCCATGACAATGTTGAACAAAAGGTAGGCACTAGCAATTAGGAGACAACCCGGTCAGATTGTGCACTTCAAGGGAACCTTGTTAAGTGCGGCAAGACAGAAATCTGAATGGCTCAATGTTTTGTTGTGCGACTTGGGCACAATTTTTAACACGTTGAGCACCTTAGTTTGCTGGCCCCAAGCGGTGGAAGTAATAATAGCAAGACACGACCAGAGTTTCACACACAAGACGCAATAGAAGTCGGCAATTACGAGACATGGACAGGTTGCTCAAGCTTCAATAGGAACAGCAATAAGGACGCGACACTAAGACACCCGGGGTTTTGTTTTGTTTTCTTTTTGGTTGGGTTAACCGAATAAGAAAACAAGACAAGGCACAAATACGAATTGAAGACACGACACCACAATAGACTCAAAACACGATGACCATAATTTGAAAACAAAAAAAAAAAAAACTTGCGGACAGAATTTTAACGAACGAGACCGATTCTACAGACACGAATTAAGAAGCGGAAAGAGGGAAGACGATATTACCAACAAGCTAGCTCTGATGCTAGTTGATACGATTCTCGTTAGTGAGGAGATTCGCGACCCAAGATCGCTTGTTGGATTTGACGTCGGATGCAAGAAATGGTGGCAGCGGAAACCCTACGACCCCTCTAATCCCCGTGACTACGAACTTGTTGATACTGTCTCAACCCGTAATCAAACGAATTAGTGAACCTCAGGCAAGTGTAGAAGGCGCTACAATTCAAGTGCGATTCTTGAATTGATAAGCCGAACAAGAACACCAGAGTGTAACTCTAAGTTGTTCAAGGTTTGCCCGAAAGCTATTGAGAAAACTCTCTCAATATTTTTATCATAAAAGTGTCTGTCTTTGTGGGAGTAATGGGGTGCCTTATATAGGCTACAAGTAAACCCTAAACTAATAAGGAAAAGGAACTAAAGGTGTGCTAATATGGGCCCTCGATGAGTCGGGCCTCATGTGGGCTTTCCCTCCAAGGCAGCTCACCTTAACAAATAATGATGACTAAATAGCAATCTTACCCTTGGCATTTCTATGTGCAACATGCACTTAGCCAATTATTCAATCTAAT